CCTTCAGTAAAGGTGCTAGCCCCACTTCTGAAGACTCACAATTTAGTCATCAGACAAACACACCCTCCAATACTTTCATCACATGAGTTTTGTTTCAACGTGAACCTAGCTGTTCCAATACGAATTTGTTAAGTGACACCATCACTGAAAGCGTAATGACATGTCACAGAACTTTCACCTGTTTCTCTTTGGTTAATTTTTCTTTCTTCGTAGGGATCCATCCCAACTAGGAAAAATTACTTTTCCTTTCACTGTCTTAGTTTACCTTAGACCAAAGGTGACTTAGAAAGTTACCTCGGGGAACTCAGCAAGCTTTACTTTGAACACAGAAACTGATCATTGATTTACAAGTTAATTTTTTTACATTCTGTGGATTAACATTCAATTCGTTGAGAGTCTGCTGAGTTTTAATATTACAGAGCTTAGCAAAGGGTATCTGCTGTAATGTGAGAATGATGAGAAGGAGTTTTTAGCTTAGCTCTCTGCTGTAGGCACGATTCCAATGTGATGGGGCCATTTGTTTACAAAAGCTTTATCTTGCCAAGGATCAGTAGGCCATTAACTAAACCCTTAGTAGCATCAAATCCTTTAGGATGAACACCACTTCATTTTTTCACTCATTCTTTCATGCTCTTCAGCAAAGCCTTGTGAGTTTCTTTGTCAGTGCCTTGTGCGTTTATCTCCCGCTTAGGTCTTGTTCTGTTACAGATTTTAAAGTCACCTGCGGGGCTGGAGAGGCACTCACTGGTTAACAGCGCTTGCTGCTGCTCTTCCCGAGGATCTGAGCTCAGGTCCTGCTACCCACATCAGGTGACCAAGGACCTGTATCTCAGCTCCCAGAGATCCAGTGCCATCTTCTGGGCCCTTCAGGTACTGCACTTATGTACACACACACACACACACACACACACACACACACACACACACACACACACGCACACTTAAAAACAGTGAAATAAATCTTTTTTAAAAAATAAAGCTATTTGATTTATTTTAAAATTTACTTGTACTCCGAAGAAAATTACACCTGTAAATAGTTTTCTTTAAATCTGATCATTTTTATAAGCTTTCAGTGATTTACCGATTGATTTTTTTTCTTGTAGACAGCCATACTTTGAAAGCAGTGTGAGAGTGTCTGACTTCTTGATTTTACCAGAAAATCCCTTTGTGCCTGTATTCTTCTGTTTAAATCACCATAATAAAACACCATAGATTGGGGCCTTCAACAGTAGTGATCACTATTTTCAGAGCTGTGTGGGGTGGGTTTCTCGTAGGCTGCTCTCCTGAGCTTGTGGCCGGAAGCTCTCCTCTACCACAGTGTCCTCTCATAGCCTGCAAACTTGAAGGCTGGAAGAAAGCTTGAACGGCTGGAAGAGGGCTCTCTTGTACCTCCACTTAACCTCCTATTGAACGCTCTAGCTCTTCACAGATTTGCCAGGGCACAGACCTTCAACACAATATAAACCATGGAGGGCACAACACAGCACGGTGACAAGAAATAGTAAAAGCACAGAAATAATAAAAAAATAGAATTTTCCTTATAGCTTTATGCTTTTGAATTAACATTGCGAACGATACTTTAAGTCTTGTCTTGAATATCTAAAAACTAGTGTGGCCCAGATATGCATATGCAAATACACAGAAGGATCTGAGAATTAATATGGACACAGCATAAGTTTATTTTGAATTACGCATTGCAGTGGTTTATTTGAAAAAAAAATAGTGTCTCTAGACACAGAGCACGTGTGCAATGAGCACCTGGTGATAGACAACTGAGCTGCCACAAGCGTTTGCTACGATGTGCACATAGAACGTCTCGGTGCTTGCAAGTGGCTCACACCTGAAGCACTCATTTGCCTTTCATTCAGTAGAGACTTTCCGTCGGGCAATAAGTATATATTGATACCAGCAGCACAGTCTCCACTTGCTGCATAATGGCTATGAGTTATTCTTGAACTATAATTTTACATACTATAATAAATATAAGTCTCTCTACTTACTGCCAAATTACAAGAGGAGAAAAAAAATTGTGATGAAAGAGACTTCACAATCCCCATTCTGCTACAAATGGAAACTCTTGGAAGACACACCGTTTAAAGACATAATTCCTTCTGAACAACTCTCACTCAAGATTATTCTTTTGTAAAATAAAATATATGTTAAATGTTTTAGAATTTCATACACTGTATTTGCATCACAGTGACCATTCACATCTCTGTTTAACTCCAGCCAGGTCCATCTTGTATTAGTTAGGGTTCCCTAGGGGAACAGAACTCACAGAATTAATTTATCTGTATCTATCTATCTATCTATCTATCTATCTATCTATCTATCTATCTATCTATCTATCTATCATCTGCCTATTATCTATCTATCTATTTATATATCTATCTACTTATCTATCATATATCATCTCTCTCTCTCTCTCATGTGTGTATATGATTTATTAGAATGGCTTGGAGGCTGTGGTCCAGCTAGTACAACAATGGTCGTCTACAAACTGAAGGTTCAAGAATCAAGCAGTGTTCAGTCCATGAGGCTGGATGTCTCAGATTACAAGTGGGTCTTTCCACTTCACATGACTTCATTAAAAAAACAACAACACAATCCCTCATAAGTGGGCCCAGCCATTTGGGTGTTGGTTAATTCTGGACGTATCCAAGTTGACAACCAAGAATATCCATCACACATACCTACCCCTTACCACCCGAGCTTTGTGTTTGGTTTCTAGTTAAATAACCCACAGACTCCAATTTGTGCTTTCTGCACACTCTTGTGCGGGTGGGGGCATCCACTGGAGTTTGGTCACCCTATTAGGAGCCACGCCCTTCAAGAGAGCTGATTCTCTGTCCTCCAGAAGCTGTCTTCTCCGTATCCCCTCAGCTAGGAGTGGGGTGTGAGCTGGAATGCCGCTGGCTTGGCCTTGTGCAGCCTTACTCAGGCCACGGCCGCTGCCGTGAGCTCACGGCTGCACAGTCCTGTCATGTCCACATGACGCGTTTTCCGGCGTTTTCCGTGTGCTCCTCCTCAGCCTCTGGCTCCCCCCTTTCTGTCTGGTTCCTAAGCCGCGGGGGCTGTGTGTGTACATTCATGACCGAGTGCAGTCCTCAGTCTCTGAGTTCTGAGCACGCGTGGGCCTCTGCATTAACTGCTGACCGCTGCACAAGGAAACTTCTCTGACGGAATCTGAGGGCTGCCCTGCTCAAGACCGTGCTTAAAAAGTTCACTCATTTAAAAGGAAATCGGGCAAATTAAATCAGTTTTTAAAACAATTTTTAAAATCTGGAAAATACATCAAAGAAAAACAAATAGTAACATGTTTGAGGTATGTTGAAGAACTCTCTGACTATCTTGTAACCTCTAAAGGAATAAAATTAAATATATGCATAATGAAAACCCCTGAAATATGTATTGCTGTGGGTGTTACTGTTTTGGCAAGAAGTAGAAGAACTCGCTGATTTTCTTTCTCTCTGTCTCCTTTAACCCCCAAAGGGTTCATTTTAGAAAAAGTAATTTATCAATCCAAATCTCATAGGCAGGCTCAGCTGCCCTTGGGGTCAATTATTTGCTTTTGTCCTCAGGAGTTTGAATGACCTCTGGTGAGTTCCTTGATAATTTCTAGCTCCAGATTCCCCGTTCATAAAATCAGAACAGCATCAGGGTACTGTGGGTTTGCCCGGTTAGTTAGGAGTTAACCTACTTGAGATGATGAAAACAGATCCCAGCATGTAGAAGCTCAGCCCATAAAACCAAATTCAGTTTTATTATTTTAAGTAATCATTGTTGTGCTTTTAAACTTACTAACTTAACCTGAAATATTTAATGTGTCTGTAGAAATGAATCTTTAAAAAAAAATCTTAAAGAAGCAAATCTCCAACCATGATTATTTGTGTATTTATGTACTTACCTAGTTTTGAAAGGAGGTCTCAGCATAGCCCTGGCTGGCCTGGAACTCACAAGAGATCCCCCTGTCTCTTGTATCCCAAGCGCCAATATTAAAGAAATGCTCAATCACTCTTGCCTGAGTCTGTAAACAGTAATATTTTGGTTACTGAATTACTTTTTTAAAAAGATGTTTCTTTTATTTTTTGAATTAATAACATAGCCACATCATTTCCCCCTTCCCTTACCCCCCTGTAAACTTTCCCATTTATCTCTCTTTCGATTCATGGACACTTTTTCCATTAAGTGTTAATATATACATACATACACACATACATATATATATACACACACCTTTATATGTACATATTTAAACACACAAAGAAAACCTCCTCCGTCCATACATTATTTGTGTGTATGTTTTCAGGACTAATCGTTTAATATTGTAGACCAGTTGGTGTGCTGTTCCCTGGGGAAGACTATTTCTCCCTCTCTCTGCCTTCCTCAGTTGCCAGTAGGTCTTTGGGTAGGGCTGAGGACTCCCGGGGCTTTCCCCACCCTCATTAGCATATCTGTTGGCACCATTTTTGTCCAGCTCGTGTTTAGGCAGGGTGATGAATTACAATAGAAAAGTGAAATAATGACATCTTCTAATTGAACTTTGGCCTCCTGTAATGTTAGATCCAGGATTTTTTTCTCAGATTCACCAAAGACCAAGAGATAGCCTTTGTCGCTGTGAGAGAGTAAACAGTTTCTTAGGAAGCAAGACCTTATGCTGCAAGAGTTTATAGATTTGTGTCCAGCTCTATGATTTAGAAGGAAAGGAGAACAGGCCTATTCTGAGTCAGAAGGTTTTCTCAAACCATTATAGAATAACAATTATGACTCTCTGCTTCTTATTTTTATTACTGGCTTGAAAAAGATGACTCTACAATGCTTACAGCAGGCGGATATTATTCTACAAATAAGGGCCCAGCATGACATTTATGAGAAAACCCAGGTCCTCCTGCGCAAAGCTGATTGGTGCACAGCCAATGGGCTCCAAGATGCTGCCAATAAAGGCGCCTACTGCCCTGGGCTGGGCAGATGCAGGGCAGAGGGCCACCGCTGCCCCTGTACTCCGGGGAGATGCTCATCACCTCTCTGAACAGCACACATCTGTGGTCTGCAAGGAGAAGCCAGACAACGAAGATGGAGCACCTGCTTCCCCAGTTCTGTCCAGTCCTGGTCGTCTGCTGCTTCTGTATGCTGCAGATTCCGCCCTCAGGTAAGGGGACTGCCATCACACCCACCTGACCTGAGCTCTGTGGAGGACTGAGACAGATCTTTACCCCTCAGAGTAGTTCCCAGGGGAGTTGAGCGTCCTTCCTTCACCTACCCTCACATCTGCCCTTGTTTCCAGGCGCGGCACTTGCGTCTACCCGGAATGGTGGACACAGCGAGATGCCACGGCCTTTTATCCAGAGATACTGGGATTAAACAACTCTCACCCCAGGAGTGCTGAAGGGCATGGTCTCCGTGTGAGTAGGGGAAATCCTGGAGATGAGAGCACAGGAAGAAAACTGGGTTTACACCCCCCCTGGCCCTAAAGCAGATGAGCAGCTGAAGAGAGCAGAAAGTAACTACACAGACAAAAGAAACTGCTCCAGGGAGTAGGTTCTCCAAGAGCTGGGGACCAGAAGGCCCTCATCCTCCAGCCCCTGAGAGCTGTCCGAGGTTCTGACCATGAACTGCCTCTCTGATTTCTGAGGAGCAATTTGTAGGGAGCCAGGAGTGGGCGTAGGCTCTGAAGTCCTCAGCCAGGATCAGATCACCATCTCCAGGCAATTTGTCACAAAGTTCAGGAAACTAGGCCATTGATGAAAAGCCACGATTGGAAGCAAGGACTATTGCAGAAACTTGGACTTTTTTTTCCATGAGAATTTTGATTTAGAGGTGTAGGGAACATTGAGAAAATATGCTGTGTTTGTTATCAGCTTCTTCAGAATGCCAGGTCCTCCCTGTGGCTTACCAACTGGCCTTCTAGATTCTAACTTTAAGCTCACTGCCTGCCCAGGACAACCAGCTGCTGTCCCTCCGGCCTCCTATAAAAACTTGTTCATAGTTTGCCTTTGGAATTTCAAGTTCAATGTCATTGTCTGCACACACACAGCCACCTCCCTGTTTCTCCTACTTGATTTTGTTTTCCGAGGAGCCGGTCCTGTCAGCTTCATCTTCGTGTTAGCACAGACCTCTCAGCAAGACCTTGTGAGGCTGGTTTGCAGGACTTTGCATTATCAAGTGACCACAACCATCAAAAATATCTTTACATTAAGCTGTGACGTGATCACATCTGACTTAAGTCAGGCATTTTGTCGGGGTCTGTGGGGGGTACACCAGAGTAGATGAACGTTTCTTGCTTGGGATAGTTCTCAGTATAACTTAACACATACAGAGGTTTCAGTGTTTCTGGAGAAAACTATATGCACCTTTAATCCTGCTTTACCTTCGTCATTTCAAGTGAGGCCATTACTCTTCAAGGCATGGACATCTTGTTTAAATATGCCGGAATATTGCCTTAGTTTTATTGCAGAGAGCAAATAACACAGTGCATGTAAACATATGTGCATACATGTATGTGAGTTTATGTATGTATGTATGTATGTATGTACATTTGTTGTTCTTAGAATAAACTACTCTTGAGCCATATAGTCCCTGTTCCACATTTTAAGATATACAAATTCAGGGCATTATACGTACTTATTTAATCGTAATTTGTTAGTGCCAACCTACCAGGATTCTTTCAACTACACAAACCTCTGGGTGTTATATCATGTAAAGTGTTCTATCACGTGTAAATGAGAAGCTGTGTTCATTGAGGTCAGAGGAGGGTGGAAAGATCCAACTGCGTGCCAGCAGCAGCTCTCTCCAGAACTCCACCGCTGGAGGGCTGATGATGGAACGGAGATGGGTACCTGCATGTCTTAAAAGTCCTGATTAGATGCTCATCCTCTGCCAACATTACTTTCTGATATTTGATCCTCACAAATTTCGCCAAAATATACACTTTCTTGCTCTCTCAGTGTTTTCTCTTTCTTTCTTGACTTGCTAACAGATGGACTAGAAACACCCATTAAATTGAACACATTCCATTTTAAAATAATGTTGTTCCTCATCTTGGATTCAACAGCACCAGGTAGAGGCAGCTCAACTCTCTCTCCTCTCAGCAGGACCTCCTGTCAGTCACCTCTCGACGATGCTTTTGCTCAGCTCGGTGGCAGAGCCCATTGAGACTGCTGTGTATTTTTACAGCCCGGGTGCAGAGGCAAATCTGTGCCGTCTTTCTGGAAGTGATGTTTTCGTTGTCTTTTGTTGTAGGGGTTGCTCAACCTTTAGCTGACCCTCCTGACAGCTTGGACATGGTGGAGCTTGAGGTATGCTTTTATGCAGCTCTGTGAGATTTGCATTTAGCCTTGGCTTTGAAATATCATGTGGTTAACCGTTCACTTAAAACTATTTTAAGATCAGATATTTGGCTGCAGCAAAAACTCACTGTGATGGCAGCATGGCCTCATTTAAGACATCCTGTGAATTGAGTTGAAATTTGCTGCATTGTATGGGGAGATAACTCCAGGTTCATAAATGGAGCAATTTTAGAGTTTTAGAGAATTCTACTGGCTAAAGAATTTATTCTCATATTTGGTTTCTTTTCCTCGTTTTGTCTTTTAGCAACTGGTCTACTTTCTGAACCAGGGGGAAACACTTTCTAGCCAACCCAAGGTAAAGATAATACACATGCTAGCTCCCTGGAGGTACACCAGGACATATGTCGACACTGTAACTTAGGATTAAGATGACTGGCTGCTTACTAGCGAACGTGTGTGTGTAAGTGCATGTGTGCATAGTTTCAAGAAAATCAAATTTCTCCATTTCATATAAATTACCACAAAATACTAGTGCTTCATATGCATTTTAAGGTTAGGTCATCTATATATAAAATTAATTATATGTCATGACATTTACTATTATATCTTATAACTTGATGCATTGTGGTAAACAGTTCTCCAAATGCAGTAGATCTCATGTAGAGGACTACGCCTAGCAGTATCCGTAGTAACCACAATAAAAGTAATTCAGTGGATGCAAAGTCTTGGTCTTGGATAGTTCACAGCTCTCAACATTGCCTCTCAGTTTTCGCCTTGAGTACCATCTCACCTGCACCAACTTCGCCAATCTGCAGCATCGCACAGTCTGGCCACACCCAACACCAGACCCTTTAAATCTCTGTACAAACTTTCCTTCAACTAGAATCATCTCTGCCTCCCTCAGAGCCTGTAGTTACAGCCCAGGCCCTCAAACTCCTCAACCCTGGCCATGTCTCAATGGCTCTGTGCTTTAGTTGGCTTGTCACTCATGTGATTGCTGTGACAGCTCCAGTGGCCTGAGGGCTGAATGTTTTAACATGCGTGATGTGCTTTCACCATCGTCTACAGCGTGGAGAGCGACGGCCTCAGAATGCCTTTGTCCCAGCCACTTCTCCCTCACACCCCAAGTGCTGCCATCTCTCTCAAACGGCATGAAGAAACTGAACATTTTGCGTCTTGCTTTCAAGTGACCACTATGCATAGGTTTGGAAATGATTGTTGTAAGCATTGCCCTGATATCTGGACCAAGACTCAAGGTGAAAACTCAGAGATGCCTGCTGGAATACATTTCCTTTGCCATTTTCATTTCCCCAAACCCCATCTACCCATGATTTCTGGTGACAGAGCAAGTAGCTGCTCAGTGAACAAAACTGCCAGTGCTTTCAGATGTGAAGGAAGAGGTAGTGGCTCTTCCTGGCTTCATTGTTGCGCCCAGCTGTCCTGTGCTGGGAAGACTTGCTGGAGGTCCTGATGTACTCGCTACGCACAGGCCAGCTCTGTGTCTGCAGGAGACAGCTGTGTTCAAGCAGCTCTGGGGGTGGCTGTAGTCCACAAGCAAGGACACCTGCAGATATTTGAGCTCCGCTTTGCTGGACACCACATGGGATCAGAAGGAATTTAAACAGGGAGGTGGTCCTGTGGATGGAGACCCACTTACTCATTAATCCAGAAGAGATGCTTGAGAACATGGAACCGCCAGGTGCTAGGGATGGGGTCATGACCCTCACAGAGCACCCTGTCCAATAATGCATGTGTTAGAGTTGGGAAAGTGGATGGAACTCTACATGAGTAAAACGTAACACATAGTTTTCCATCAAAAAAGAAGTTGAAAAGGATACATATGAAATGCGAGAAAGTGTGCTAGCATCTGGAGAAGAGTTGGAAAAACTGTGAATTTTTATGAAATGGGGGAAGGTTTTCCTCCCGATGATTGAAAAGATAAGAAGAGATAGATAAGGTGTCAAAGGCAACTTTGTTGTAAAGGCCTGTGTCACTATAGTCTAGACTCCACTGTTTTATAATACTGGAGCAAACCCAGCCAGGTGCAGAGCGTGACTCACACTGAAAACTCCATCCCGCTCCAGAGAAACGCCTCATAACTTTCTTCTCAATTCTCCTTCCAGGAAAACCAGAACCCATACAAAAGGGTGAGCACGTTTCCTACCTCATCCTCTGCGCTGTGTCGGGAGCAAGCGACGCTTGATGCTGAACACGCACAACGCCCCCCCTTTTTTTTTTTCTATTTAGTTTTTGTTTCACTACTCTAGGGCTCAGAAGCCACCACACCCAGCTAACTCAGAGGTCAGTGTGTTATGAACTTCCTGCATGATCCTCTTCTGCCTTCTGAATTTGTACACACCCACAGCCAAGTATTTCTTAGTCGGGGAACCCCTAGACACCCGTGTCCCCACTCCCTTCTCAGGGCAGCAAGAACTGTTTCTTTGCCATCACGGATGAGAGTGATGGACAATAGACAGTTCTGAACGGTTAGGAGATAAACTGCAGGAAGAGGAAATTGTTATCACGTACTTGAGCAGAAGTGCAAGAAGAGGCTGTAGAACCGCACCCCATCTCCGCTGCTCCCTATCGCTTCCCAGCGCCGCCTCCCACAGTGATGCGCTCATCTCCTGTGGCTGTCAGGGTGTGGACGTGCGGTGGGACTAGCAGCTCTGGGGCTGTCTTCAGCTCTGGGGCTCAAACCCCCGGCCTTGTGCTTGCTAGACTCTATCACCGGGTTACCTTCCCATCTGACCCTTTTTCTGATACAAGTTCTCACTGGGTAGACCAGGCTGGTCTTCCTCCTACTTCTGAAGCCCTGGGAGAGTCTTAAGATCTAGATTTTGGTTTTGTCACAGCAACTGAAGTTTTACCAGGGGAAAGCCATTTATTTACACACTTAGGGCTCTCAGTCTTCAGGGGGGGTCCTTGAAATTGTCAAATACTCAGAAAAAATATGTTTCCCCCAAGAGGCAAGGAGCCCTCGATGTTCTAGGTCTAGGGGTGGGATTAGATAAAGAGGGAGCAGCTACCAAAAAGCATAAAAGAGCAAGGGAAGGGGAGAGGCCGCGAGGAGCGAAGCACCGGGCAACTGTGAGGGCTAGAGGACAGACGCCCATGCCTGAGAGTGCGCAGGCAGGTGCAGTCAAGGGGTGCAGGATGGGAGGGGCCCAGGGCACGGAGTGCTTTGAGTACAGGACAGAAGGTTAAGGCCAGTGAGCAACTGACTGGTCCTAAGGGGAGATTTCTAAGTGCTGCGGAGGAATTGAAACCTGTATCAAGGCAATCAAGACCTTTATTGAAAACATAAACCTTTCCAGCTCAGGCTCCGGCATTGATTCTTCCCTGGAAATTAAACCCATTTGTAAGAGAGGCGGGTCAGGAAGCGTGCGCGCGGCTGGGGCGCTCCACGGCTCAGGCCTCACAGCGCCCCTCTGTTGCAGTTCGCCCCGGTGCACCCCTTGATGCGCCTGGCTGCCAAGCTCGCCAGCGGAAGGATGAAGAGGCTGCTGCGCTCAGTACGTGCTCCTTTCCTCCCACCGCGGTTCCGTGGTGTGCATGCTGGCAAAGGTGCACTGTGGCCCCGTGTGGCTCCTTTGTGTTCCTTCCGCGAATCCCCGTCTCCAGTTTCTGGGGGGGAGCTGTGGGCTGAAACACTGCTCCCTTGACCCTGCCCTTCCCGTCTGTAACCCCGTGTTGAGGGAGGGACCCTGTGGTCCAGCGCCATCCCATCTCTTCCTTAACTTGCTTCGGCCTACGTTTTGTTTTTGTTCTGTGTTCCTTTTTAATTCTCTTCCTTTGTCAAACTATTATTTAAAAATATATATTAGTTAAAGTTTTGTTACACGGCAGCAAAATAATTAGTGAAGAAACATTTCTTTTGGCTACCTTGAGCCCAAGTACGCGGCCAGCATATGCTGTTTAGTCCAGAACCTTCCTAGCCTTAGATCCGGAAGTCCGGAGAGCACTGGACTTGCTCGGCCACTGGGACACCGTCTGGGCTGCCTGGGCTGCCTGGGCTGCCTGGGCTGCCTGGGCTCCCTGCACACAGGCTTCTGAGGCCACGCTAACCCCATTCTTAAACCAGGTTGTAGCCAAAGCAGACTGGCGATGCTGACCCTGAACATTTGCTTAAACCAGAAGTTGGGGTTATTCAGGCTTGTAAGCAAATTAAACATACTCGCATCCTAACCTGCACCTCAGATGGAGTGAGTAGCTTCCCTTGGAGAACTTGTGAGTGTTCCACTATCCGCAGCTCTTTTGCAGGAAGGGCCACCACCACGGTAGGGCAGCTGTGAGGCTGATGGTTCCTGATGAATTACCTTATACTTCATTTCTTTCCAGGATTCCGGGAAGGCTACCGTGGATTTTCCTAACAAGGCATGTGAACCTTGTGAGAACGCTCATTTCCCGAATGCTCTAGAAAGAAGGGCAGGGAAGTGCCTGGATTCTGCAGTCCTTCCAGCCCCATTTGGATAGAACAGACCTACCCCAGAGGACCCCAAATATCTTCTTTCAGCACTGAAGTTGGGGGTTCCCTAGGCTTGTCCCAAGGTAGAAAGTGATTATGGCTAAAGCCTCACATGACTCATTGTATGCCTCACATATTTCATTCCAATCTCACAGCCGAGTCACTTGAGCCATCTGTCACGAGGGACTTGACCTCTCGGGTTCAGGGGCACACACGCCATTGTGCAAGCTTAGAGAGAGGAAGCATGCCTCTGCCAGTGCCAAGCCCACAGACCAGTGACTCTCAGACTTGAGCCTGCACTAGAATATGAAATTGGAATAGTTGGGCTTCACCCTGAAATATAATAGGTCTGACTGAGGTGGGCTCTGAGAATTTTCATTAATAACAAGCTCTCCAGATATCTTTATGGTGCTGGTCTGAGACCACCCTTTTTGAAACCTTCTCTGTGGACATTTTGAAGGACCTTTGACTTAGAATGTGACTACATAACAGTTTGTGTTTTTGTGTTGCAGGATCGCACTACCTCCTTGGGGCGGCCATTTTTCCTTTTCAGGGTATAATGGATTTCCGTGTTTCTGTTCTAACGGTATTCACTGCCGTCTTTCCAACCTCCAGAACCAGATGGGCACGGCTCTCCTCCACTGAGGGTGTGGCTCAGCCAACGTCTCTTACAAACTTGCAAGGGATAACAGAGCAACAAGACATAGGCTGAGCATGTCCATAGTCTAGGAGCTTGGAGGGCAAAGGGGAGGGACTCCTGTTGATGGACAGATACTGGGTAGACTGGAGTCCGCAATGCCAGGCATTACATTCCAGGATATGTGACCGAAAACCACATTGATGTGGGGAGTTCAGGTGCCATGTCCCTTCCCAAGTGGCAGAAAGGCCCTTGCCAAGGTCATGGAGTTTTCAATTTTGTTCTATTTGTTAACTGCACACAAGGCCTTAGCTTCTCAATATTTGCATTCAAAATATGAATGCATCCAACTAAATACATGTCCACTCCAAGCTGTATTCTGTGCATCACTGGTATCCTGCAGAAAAAAAAAATATGAGACTAGAAGACTCCCCCAGCCTTCCCAAGGATCCACAGCTCACAGTGGCTCATCGCACGCTCGGGGAAAATGTCATGGAAAATGCTCCCTGTCTCTTTCGTTTGCCTCACATCCTTGGCCACGGGAATCCTTACTACTTTTCCCCACTTTGTATCTTTTTCACTTTCATGACTGATTCATATGTTGTTTTCTGGGAAGAATGGGGGAAGCAGTAGGTCCCTGCTGTGTCTCCAGGCTGGGAAGTCTGGGGAGTAGACACCTCTCACCATGAGTCTAAAGGTGGAGGTCGGGTGGGGAATGGGCGCCGTGTCCCTGAGAGCGGTGAAGGGCCTAGATTACCCCCGAGAGGACGTAGGAGGACTTGCCATGTAGGTCTCCAAGGATGGGAGTGAGAACTAGTAAGAAAAACAAGGCCTTTGTGTTCAGGAGTGAAAAACAGTCCAAGCACATGTGTTGATATTTTTAAGACTTTCTCCTTCACATTTTTTTCTTTTCAGCCAAGGAATGGAAGATACTCCAACAACAGAGTCCAGTAGATGGCAAGGTTTGCTTCATTGCAGCTTTTCTATTCTATGCAAGTGTTCTAAATCTGCCTTGCAGGTAGTAGAGACAGAAGGCGGGTGCTATTGTTCAAGGAAAGGACTCCACCCTCCACAGCACCACAGACCCTCAGCCCAGGCTGTCAGAAACAGGCTGCCCCAGTAGTGTCACCAGCCTCTGCTTTCACACCTGGCCTTGGGAAGTGTGTTGTTTCTAGATAGAGTTGTAGTAGAAAATGAAGCCTCATGTGGCCCCAGTTGCCTTAAACCCCTCCCTCCAGCACTTGGCCTTTACCAGGAGGAAAACACCACCCTGGTATGTTGAGATGGTAGCGCCAAGGAGGCCTTTGGACAAGGCGGTCCATGCAGGGGGCAGCTCTAGCGTGCTCTGTGTCTCCCGAGGGTCCTGGTCCTAGGAAGCTGAGAGCATTGCCAGCATCAGAGTGCTAGCAGTCCAAAGTGCCCGAGGCAGCTGCCCTCATCTTGGCAGAGGGGATTAGGCAGCAAAAACAGGAGTAATGTGTTCCTGAGGCCAAAAGATCTATGTAAATCCAATAATCTAATCAGGCACCAAAAATAAATATCCTTAGTGCCAATGGTAAGGAGGTCAATGTAGGAATTTGTGGCATACGTCACATCACCGTGTGACTGTAGAATGTGTCCATAGTGACTTGCATTTGGCCCTCCTCGTGGTCCTGAGGGTGGCTGCACTTACACCGAGCACACCTTTTGTTTGGCAGAATCTGGCGGCACTGGAGAGCGCACATCTTTGGAGGGAAGGCCAAGTTGTTTCACGTGGATATTTAACGACACTTCTGTTGTTCCGTGCTGTCCAAAAGACTTACTCATACAAAAAATAAAGCAACACTGATGTATCATCCTTAGTTTTGTTGGAAGGGTGTGGGAATAGGTACATTACACGAATTGATTTTGAAGGAATTACTAATTTAAGTGTGGAACAAGACAACTAACTTGCTGGTGATTGAGCACATGGATTTGGGAAAAGCTAAGACCCTGATGTCATCCTAGCTCTGTTTTCTAGCTGGGTGACTTTGGTGCATTGGTCAGATTTTCATTTCCTAGTAAATACCTGATGTACATCAATTAGAAGCAGGGGACATTTCCTTGGGGTAGGGGTTCCCTTCCATGCGGGCTGCTTGGAATCTTGCTTTGGCTCTGTGGTCTCAAAATACATCATGAGGAAATCATACGACAGAAGAGATTATCTACCTACCTTGTGGCAGATGGGAATCAAGAAGCGGGAGGAGACAGGGTCCCAATGACTCCTTAGACAGCAGGGCTCCAAACGAGCAGCTCTGCCCACCAGGCCACACCTCTTACCCTTCCACTATTTTCTTGTAGCAGTACAGACTCGTGACCAAGCCCTGCATAGGAATCTTTGGATAAGGGGCATTCCAGAGCTAAACTGGATCAGTTGGGTAGCTCACTTCCATTCCTGTGCCTCAGTTTCCTGCTCGGAGGAATAGATTTTGTGAAAATGACACCCTCTAGAGCTTGATTTCGTGAGAACTCAAGAGCTGGTCCACAGAAGGGTGTGGAATTGCCCCACTGCCCATTCGTTGGCTCTAATTTTGCTTGAAAGGTTTTTCACTCTACTGTACATACCAAGCACTGTCCCTCCACAGCCCCTTCCCTATTGCTGGCATCAAGATGTTAAGGAAAAAGGACTCCAGTTTGCTGGAGAACCGTGGGTCCTGGGCCTTTGCTTCTCTGGGAACATTCTGGAGACCCTCAAGCACAGCAGGGGGTGGTGCGGAGGTGTGTGCAGCTTGAGGGGCTGTGTTAGTTAGAATCGCTGTGTTCTTAGCATTTCTCGGCCTTGGTCCCAAGTCTGAGGCTCATTGTTTGAGGATCCCCCCAGGAGACCTCCTGAGATGGCATGACAGGAACGGAGGGCAAATCAGCCTCCAGCCAGTGTTCACCAGGGCAGGGACAAAGCCACGCCTATGAGGTGTACCAGGTGTGCCCTTAGAGATGAAGGCTCTCTTGCCAAGGCCTCTCTGGTGATGTGGAGCAGAAGCAGGCTTTGCCTCCATACACAACCTTTTGTCCACATCAGTCTGGCAAGGATAAACCAGCGGTCCCCAAAGCAGTCTTGAAACTCTACCAAGCTGCAACTTCTGTGTAGAACTGCTAGTCTCCAAGGACAGTCCCTTGGCATGTTCCCAAAGGAAAGATCCATAAAAGAAATCCCTTCATGCCACGAGTCCCTTCTCGTTAGTTTCAGCGCTGGGTGCAGGTGAAGTCTGCACATGGACCACGCCCATCTGCTTGGCGCTGACAGCCACCACACTCAGGTCCTTGCATGGGGAGACTGCAGCCCTCCACAAAACCAGGGGTGCATGGCCGGGAAAGGACGGTGCATGGGATTCTTAGAACCTCGGAGCAGGTAGAGGATTCCTCGGTCCCAGAGCCCTGCCCTCTCATTGGCTGCTAAAGAAGAGGCTAGAAAGGCTGAATAAGACTGGTCAAGGCCACAAGACGGATGATGGCATGTCTGGCAGAAGTCGTTTGCTTAAAAGCTGAATTGCTTTGCGAACTCCGGTATTCCTACCCTCAGTTAAAGTCCTGAGACTTTCATGATGAGTGAACCAAACTGGGAGGCTCAAAGCAATATTTACTCTTTTTGTAAAAGATTTATTTATTTTATGTGCATTGGTGTTTTGCTTGCATGTATGTGTGTGTGCGCTTCATGCATGCGTACTGCCTGTGGGGGTCAGAAAAAGCCCTAGGCTCTCCTTGAAAAGGAGTTACAGGTGCTCCTAGCTGCCATGTGGGTCCTGGGAACCAACCCTGGCTCCACTGGAAGAGCAGTGAGCACTCTTAACTACTGACACATCTCACCAGCTGCTGGACCTGGCCTTTGACTAGAGCAGACACTTAGAAGCTGCTTTGCTAGCGCACTAACCCCACGCTTGGGCCCACGGGGTAACTGAAAGCACCTTTGCTTTCGTTTTGCATCTCTTTCTCTTTTATGTCCATGCACAGATAGGACAGTTATTCAAGGAAACCTGCAGTCATGGCAATGTAGTATAAGGCCCACCCCTGGGAAGCAAAGGCAGGAAGATCAGGGATTCAGGCATCCCAGGTTATTCAGTGAGTTCAAAGACAGGCTGGGCTATGTGAGAGTCTGTCTCAAAACCAAAACAAACTCAGGAAGCAGAGGCAAGCAGATCTCTGAGAGCTTGAGGCCAGCCTGGACTAAAAGTGAGTACCAGGACAGGCAGAGCTGCATAATAGAGACAGACCCTGTCTCAAGAAACAAAACAGACAAGAACAACAACAGACGAACAAAACAAATGCTTATTTAAGGACGTGTCAGTCCGAAAAGCAGCGCTGACACACGACCTGTCTCGCGCTCCCCTTCAAGGCTCAAGGCTGAAAGCACAAAGGTGAGCGCATCAGCTGCCATGTCCTATTCCAGGGTCCCCAGAAGGTATCCAAGGCTATCAGCTCGTACTTACCTTCCTAGTGCCATGACCAAACACTACAACCAAGGAAACATATGAAAGGAGGCATTAAATTGGAAGCTCAGAGTGGCGGAGGGTCAGAGTCTGTGACTATCGTGTCAGGGAGGATGGCAACAGGCAGGCTGGTTTGATGCCGATCATTAGCCGATAGCTCATATCTGCATCCACAAGCATGAGGCGGGGAGAGCTAGCTGGGAATGATGAGAGCTTCCATAACCTCAGAGCCCATCCCCAGTGACACACCCACTCCAACCAGGGCATGCCTACCTCCTAATCCTTCCTAAACAGTTCCACCAACTTGGGATCACACATTGAATCGTCTGAGCCTGTGGGGACCATCCTCATTCAAACAATCACATCAGTCATTGCCCTAAACCTGAAAGTCACCTTGGGTTCCAGAGATGATGGAAGCTCCTGACAATGTCATCCCTATGAGGAAATCACTCAAGCAGGAGTGATCAGCTCTCAAGAATCAACTTGACGCCTCAAGCGGCAATGACTTCTTCAAGCCGCCTTGCAGATCCGGAACTGAGATGAAGATCGGCCAGACCACACTGTGAGCAGCGCTGCTTAAACTCCGGCCTCTTGCTCCCTGCTGAAGTCATTCTTATATTTAAGCCTAACTCTCTCTTATCAGTACCCTAAGATTTGGTGTCTGTACTGCCCGACAGGATTGAGGAGTCAATTTTTACTTTATTTTAATTTTTATTATTTTATATGTACAGATGTTTTGCCTGTATGCATATCTGTGCCAGACGCCAGGAGGATCTGGAACTGGGCATGTAAATGGTTTTGAGCCATTGCACGGGTGCTAGGAATCAAACAAGAGTCCTCTAGAAGAGTAGCCAGTGCTCTTAACCAAGGAGCCATCTCTCCAGCCCCAACAGAGAGAAAATCAGGGAAGTGGGACTATGCAGCGAAAGTTCCAGCAAAGGGAACGGCACAGGTGTGTCTTCATACCTTCTTTTGGCATAGCCTTTGTGACCCCCACACAGACAATATGCTTGCATACCCCGTCTCTCTCTCATACACACACTCACAGAGCAAAGTGACCTGTTTCCAAATTCCGCCTTCACACCTCACTCCTGTGTCATGACGAAAAGCACAGCATTGCATGCTTCAGCTTTCTTATTGTTTCTATGTGTCCAATAGTAGAAACTACTTGACTGGATTGTTCTGAGAGGTAAATACGTTATATGTGCGTGGTGTGTGTGTGTACACACGTGTGTGTGTGTGCGTGCGTGCGTGCACACTAGGTGCATATGAAGAGCAGTGGTTAATCCTGAGCATCGTCCCTCAAGAGGATGCCTACTTTGGTTTTTGAGACAGGGTCTCTCACAGGCCCGGAATTTACCAATCCCACCAAGCTAGTGAGCCCTAGGGACCCCCTTGTCTTTTCTCTCTGTGTTAAAAGTGTGTGTCACCACATACAGCTTTTCTACCCGGGCTCTGGGGAATCAAACTCAGGTTCTTGTGCTTCAGCAAATGCTTCACCGTCTCCTCATCACTCAGCACATTCGTTCAGGAATTTGAACATGCCCAGCACCCCGCTGCACTTGGCTTGTTCGTGATTGTTGCTACAGCCTGGGTCTGCTGGCTCAAGGAGAGTCTGAGGCCTTGTGCGGGGCACCCCAGCACTGGGCTTTGAAATGGCTCCTTCCCTGGCATCAGATTAGTCATCCGCCTTTAGGTGCACTCTAGTTTTCTCTCTTGTGGACTCTTGAACATAGTGGTTTAGATCCAAGCCGGGCTCGGCTCTGTCATCAGCTGTTACCTGTGAGACTCTGACAGAACCACCTAACTTCTCCAAGCCTGTTCTCTCACGTGTGAGCCGTAGAAGATGGTAAAGTCATAGGTAACTGCGCTGCTACGGTTAAACACAAGAACGAGTAGACGCTGTCAGTAAGTTGCTGTGCGCAGAGGTACAAACACTCAGCCCCCCAAGCTGCTGCTCTATCGTAGAAAACTTACCGTGAGTTTTTGTATCTGGAAGCCTGCAGCAGTTCTGTTTTCGAGGTACACACTCTTCAAGACACCCTAGAAAGTACTTTATTAAACCCTGCACTTCTGGAAGTGGTCTGTCAGAATCATGCTAATTTCTGCAGCATGTAAATTATAGACTGTCAGGGAGTTAACTTAGGATTTTCAGCTCTTTTATACCCCATGGCAACATCTCCTTCTGTCTTACAGGTTCTTACCAAGATGGGATAAACTGCCTCCATGTTCCGACTGATGGGGAATGACAGGAGGAAGATGAGAGGGAGAGTGGTAAGGATCAGACCATTTTGTGTGATGAGAGCTCAGTCACGTGGCCAAGCCTCCACAAGGAGCCTAGAAACAGAGATTGGCTGTGGCCTGCAGGAAGACCT